GTCAGTGTGGGACACTCCCTTCAGACTAAAGAGACTCAGTTCCTCCAGCCTGTCAGTGTTCTCCTCCCAGTACTGACTCCAGAGCAGAACATACATAATCTACACCTGATAATATCTACGGACTGTAATTAGGGCTCAACGTTTCCGAAAACAGAAATGATTTCACACAGAAACTGAGCATTTCTACTTTGAATACTTAGATTTAGACTCTCATTAGGAATATCCTCCACCTACGAGCTCATCTGATCAGCCAATTAGTTTGTAGTGTTAATCAGCACAGGGCACAAATACATTCTCATGAGTATGAGAAACTGCAAGTTAGCACCTTAACAAAAAAGCACTTAAGACCCCTTTCATTTTTAATTTGTTATTATATCCTGCGGAGTTGTCTAGCAGCACTTTATCAGTAAGGTCCATTTATCAGAGAGTTAAACTCATGACATGTTGATTTCTTTCACCTGAGAGGCCAGGTGAATTAACCTCACTCTGTGCTGGGTCTGGGGCCTGTTCTGGGTTAACAGTCGGGCACCTCTGGAGACAGCCCCTCCTGGGGTCCTGTCTCGGGCGCACTCACCATGGGGATGTCTCCGTAGCGCGTGGCAATGAGGAATCGCCGCAGGTCGCCGTGCTTCATGAAGGGCAGGATGACCAGTGGAACTGGGGTAGGGCTCTCGCTGCTGGACTGCAGAGCGACCCCTAGTGGTCAAAACGCCACACTGCAGTTTGACTGTACAGTATCACCCCTGAGCCCCTATCCTCACTCATTTACCTCTAACGTTCATAATTAGGATCTCAGTTTAAAAGCAAAACTGGAACTTCTGGGCCTCTGATAAAAGATCTATAATTAAGGCTCCCAGCGATACTTCTAGAACTCTACTATGGGAAACAGTGGTGCTGTATGTATTAATGCCACAGTATTATTGGCCGGATTATGGAAGGACAGGTCGATGGACTAGTTGGGAACTGTCTGTAAGGCACAGGGATCACTGTAAGGCCATGTGATCGCTGCTCATCCTGTTATGAGAGGTATCAGACTGGGCTGATCACCCACCCCCTGCTCCTAATCCCAGT